GTGATGCCGATATTGTCATAACTTTTTTAGGGGCAAACATTTTTTCACAAAAATTGGTACAAATGGATTTGAGGGGTTCCTAAATCCAGTGGTGTAGTCAGATTTTTTATAAAAAAATCGCTAACAAAATTTTGCTATTTTTCACTTAAAAAAAAATTCATAGTAGGCCCTGAAAATCAAAATTTCGTCTTCAAATTTTGCATCAAGATATAGCTTTTGGAAATCTATCTTTTAAAAAAAAACCGGTTCAAATCGGTCCATAAACAACTTTTGTACGCGAGTGTTTCCATTCTTAATGGGTCACCCTGTATATATATATATATATATACGGGCACAGTGGGCTGCCCAGAATAAAAATGCATCAATATTGACGTTCGACGTGTCAAAAGCATCGTATTTAAAAACTCTATCGAATGCCGTCTGGTGATTTTAAAAAATCATCATGGCGGTTCCAATATGGCGTCCGCAATCATGGAAAACTCTGTTTAATGAGCAATATTGATAGATAAGAAACATAAAAATACTGCATTGTAGACTGAATCATATCCATACGTTTTTGGGGTTGCTGATTTCGAATTCAATATTCGTTAAACCCCATCTGGTCACTGTTCGTCCCTAACCTTAAAAATACTTCAAATCGTTGAAATAATACGTTTCTACGATGAGTAACACAGTCTAACCACCACAATTTATGTTTTCGGGATCGCTGAAACCAATTCTGATATCAATATAACTTCAACTAGTCAGAGTTCGTACCTAACCTCAAAAAAGTAGCGCAAATTGCTAAGATTACACTTTTCCACTTTTAGGAATGAAGTGTAACCAACATATCTTTATATTTTTGGGGTCACTGAATCGAATTCCTACATCCGTTTGAACCCAACTAGTCATTAGTCGTACCTAACCTCAAAAGCTATAATAGTTATAAAGTGCGACCACCATATTTTTATGTTTTTTTCCAAACGAGCATGTGATATGATGAAAGGTATGTTCCATATAAAAAGAACAAATCCTTTTTAGAAGTTCTGCATATTATACTAAAGAAAAGGTAATACAGACTTTATGTCTTAGCCATGATA